AAAGGGTTGGTAAGGAGTTTCTTTCGGCACCCGGCAAGTTCAGATGGTGGCCTAACAGTGCATTATAATTTTATATTATGTTCTACTGCTGTATTCAAGTCCCACCCAGTCCTATTTGCACACTGTGTGAAACCATGGTTTGCATTAACCATGGTTTCTTGGAGAAGGCCCCAAAAAAAACAAAGTTTGTCTCCTTCATGTCTGTTTCAATTGCACACATGCATGCACACACACACAGACACCCCTTGATCAGCTCCTGTTTCCTGTTTGGGGGAAACAAGTGAGGAACCATGGCAAACCATGGTTTGAATAAGCCAGCATTCAGAAACCAAAACTATGGTTTCTCAGTTGTTTCTGGATGGCCAGCAAAGCATGTCTTCTTAACTAGGATTGAGCAATGAAACAAACCAGAAGGAAGGAAACCACATCAAGGTTTGTTGTGATGTACAAGCAACCTGGTCTGTATCAACTAAGCCCATAATCCAAAACCGTCAGCTATCCAAGCATTAACCCAAAATTCATTTATGTTTCATACACACCTTATACACATAACCTGAGGGTCATTTTATAGATAATATTTTTAATAATTTTGCGCACAGAACAAAGTTTGTGTACACTGCACCATCAGGAGAAGCAAAGGTGTCACTATCTCAGCCACCCATGTGGACGATATTGGAAATATTTCGGATTTCAGAATCCTGGATAAAGGATACTCAACCTGTATTTTTAATAATTTTGTGCATGAAACAAAGTCTATGTAAATTGAACCATCAGAAAAATTTTAAAATGTCACAATCAGTCATTCATGTGGACAAATTTTGGATTGTGGAACATTTTGAAATTGCAGATAAGAGAGACTAAACTTGTATTTCTCTCTTACAAACATTCCTCTCCCCCCAGAAAGAAGGTGATAAACATGTACCTCTCCAGGGGCAGGACTGCAACTCCCAACAGTCCTAGTGAGCATAGCCAGTGGTAAGAAATACTGGGATTTGCAGTCCAATAATACAATTGGGTCCTTGGTATCCGCTGGGGTGTCCCCCTGGATACCCAAATCCATGGATTTTTCAAGTCTCATTAAATACAATGGCATAGTAAAAAGGTATCTCTTATATAAAATGGCAAGATCAAGGTGTGCTTTTTGAAACTTATATATTTTTTGAATATTTTCAAGACAAAGAATCTGTGGATATAGAGGGCCAACTGTACCTCTCTAGAGGTGGTTGGACTGCAAGCCCCAACAGTCCTAGTGAGCACAGCCAGTGTTATGGGAATACTGGGAGTTGCAGTCCAAGAATATTTGGAAGGTGGCAAGATTCCAATCCCTGTGATGATGATGATGAATAATTATTACCTCTCTAGAGGTAGGTTGGACTGCAAGTCCCCACAGTCCTAGCAAGCACAGCTTGTGCTATGGGAATACTGGGAGTTGCAATACAAGAATATTTGGAAGGTTGCAAGATTCCAATTCTTGTAATGATGATCGATTGACAATTATTATTATTATTACCTCTCTGCAGGTGGTTGGACTGCAAGTCCCAACAGTCCTAGTGAGCACAGCCAGTGTTATGGGAATACTGGGAGTTGCAGTTCAAGAATATTTGGAAGGTGGCAAGATTCCAGTCCCTGTGATGATGATGATTGATGATGATGATTTTAAAGCAATAGAACCAGACTCTCTTCCCCCCCCCCCCCCAGGAAACAGACAGGTGTGACTCCAAAAGAGTTCACAGAGGAGGGCGAGGTGACAGGACTGAACAAGCCAAAAGCTTGCTGAACAAGCCTCGGCCGGCCAGAAGGTAATTTGGGCCAGCTGGCTGGAGATCCAACCCATAATGATCCGGGAGCAGGCTGTTTATTTGGGACGGCCGTGGGGAAGAAACACCCACGCGTCTCCTCCTCCTCCTCCTCCGCTGGACGCCAGACCCTTGGAGAAGAAAGCAAGGCCACTCAGATGCTGGAAATGCCGCACAAGGCAACCACACATCCAGCCAAATCCACACCGAGGAAACCCTCCCTGGAATATACAAGGCTGAGTCTCCCTTATCCGAAATGCTTGGGTCCGGAAGCGTTTGGGATCATGGAATATTTGCATATACAGTACATAAGGAGAAATCCTGGACGTGGGTTGTGGTTGTGGTTGTGGTTGTGTGCCTTCAAGTCGTTTCCAACCTATGGAGACCCTAAGGGAAACCTATCATGGGGGCTTCCTGGCAAGATTTGTTCAGAGGTGGTTTGCTATTGCCTTCCCCTGAGGCTGAGAGAGTGTGACCCACCCAAGTGGGTTTCATGGCTGAGCTGGGATCAAACCCCGGTCTCCAGGTCATAGACCAACACTCAAACCACTATGCCAGGCCGGCTCTAAGTATATTTTCCAACATATCATGGGGTTTTCTTGGCAAGTTTCTGCAGAGAGGGGTTTGCCACTGACATTTTCTGAGGCTGAGAGACTGTGACTTGCCCCAAGGTCCCCCAATGGGTTTACATGGCTGAGCTGGGATTTGAACCCTGGTCTCCAAACCACTACACCACACTGGCTCCAAGGCAAACTTATCATGGGTTTGTGGGGGGTTTTTTGTAAGATTTGTTCAGAGATGGCTTGCTATTTCCTTCCCCTGAGGCTGAAAGAGTGTGACTTGCCCAAGGTCACCCAACGAGTTTGCATGGCTGAGCCGGGATTCGAACCCTGGTCTCCAGAGTCCTAGTCTAGCACTCAAACATCACACTGGCTTTCATACGAATAATGCAGCCCTCCAAATATTCTTGGCTGTTTCATCTCACAATCGAGTTGTGCAAAACTGGATTTTTTTTTTTTTTTTTATAAAAAATGCTAAAACATAGTTCAGCTACTCTTCTTTGTTTGCAGCGTTGCAGCCTATCCCTTCTTCCTTCTGCCTCTCGAACCCAATTCTCTGTTTGACAGCCTGGGGAAGACATCTGCAGTAATTGCATCTTTATTTCAGATATTGTTCTCTTGCTGTTGCAATGAAATAAACGGCTTTTTTTTTTTTGCTTTTTTTTTTGGGAACCACAACAATCACAACAACAACAACAACACAGGGCCAGAAACGCTGCAAATTTTGCAACAAGTGGGTTACATAACAAGCCTGGAATTCCCCTCCCAGAGTATCTCACCACCCAAACCACGAGGTGCAAGGGAAGTTACATCACTTGTGCAAGCAAGTTGGAAGGGGAGATATATATATATATATATATATATATATATA